AAAATCTGACATAAAAAACAATGTATTTAAACTTTGTAAGTAAACCCATATTAAAAAAAAACACACCACAACCCCAACAACTCAACATGAATATATATGTGTTTATATATATTTATGGTTTTAGTAAGCATACATTTTCTAAAAGTCCCTGAGAAAATTTTCCATTTATTAGGAGCCATGGTGGTTGGAATCAACCAAGTGACACCTAACAACAACAACAATCAAACAAAAAAACTCAACATTTAATAATTCTTGCAATTACCATAAGATTAATATTTGCTAGTAAATGTTGAACACTGGTAATTTGAGATAGAGATAAATAAGACAGAAGATATACAAGATAATAATTGACAAAAAAGGGAAGAGTAATAATCAGCATTAATACAGATGATAATTTATTTCTTAAATTCTCCAGATGGATATCTAACTCAAATTCTTACAGTAGGCCAAAATCATGTTTAGAGTCAAGAAAAATACAGTGAGGTTATCACCAGACAATGTATCAAAACATGTTTTACTTCATTTTGTGTACCAAACTGGGTAATATGGCTTTTTAAATTTATTATTATTATTATTACTATTATTATTACAGTTTATTTATACAATCCAAATACATTTCTTTCCAGAACAAATTCTTCCAATTTCCCTCACCCTCCTACCCATAAAATTGTATAATTCCATGATTAATCTCCTCTCCCACTGCACATCCTCATCCCTCTACTCTACCCTGCCTTTGGATCATTAGACTGCTTTAAAGCACTATTTTCATTATTAATTGATAGCTTACAGTTACACTTCTTAGAAGAATAAAGTGTCTGCTTTAAACTCTTCTCATTTTTTATACCATGTGAATTATCCCTCTTCCCAAAGATTAAATAAATAAAATTGAGAGGAGTCAGGAAGAAAACCTAGATAATCTTTTACTTTAATAACTTGTTACTATTAAGTTCCATCAAGTCATTTGAAACCCTCTATAACCTGCACTATTCTGAGCCAACTTCATCATCTCTGACATACC